GTATCCCTTGTACTACATTTAAATTTAAAAAATGATAAAGTTATTTTAAAAAAAATGTAAGTTGTATTTGTTAATTAGATTAGACGATCGAGTGCTGAAACTTTTTAAATTATGTATCAGAAAACATGTTTTTGAATTCATATTGCATCAAAATATATTTTTTGCCTTAAAGTAATTTGGTATTTTTATAACCTAAATTGCACTTTTTGTATTTTCCATTTTGAAAATTTGTGCTTCTATATATTGTGAATTGGAGGTTTTTTGCCTTAAGTTTGATTTTATTTTGATTATTTTGTTTAATCTATATTTTTTTTTCTCAGTTTTTAGTGGTTCATTCTAGGCATAGACCAATTCTAGTTATAATTATCCTTTTTATTTGATTGAGATTTGAAATCTTATTATTTACTTATTTAATTTTGAATTGCAGAATGAACTCTAAACTTTTTGTCATCTATTTATTTGATTACATCATGTTACTTAAATCATTTGTTTTGTAGTCTCATTTAGATTAGCCATATTATTTTTATTTTAGTACATTTTTTTTCTTATAAATAGGTTATATTTTATTTAAGTTTTTTCACATGTTCCTATGTCATTGACCGTTAATGTTGCAATAAATCAATAATTGTCATTTGTATTATATTGCCTTTTCATCTTCAACAACAGACCATGATAAAATAATTACAATTGAGATTATATTTTTTTACTAAACCATGATATAATAATTGTAATTGAAATTTTGAAATTACATTTTCTATTAAGAAGTTTTTGTTCATACACTTTTATCTTTTATACTTGATTGTACTTTTATATTTAGATTAAATAATGATAATAATATTAAATAATAATAATTAAATTTTTTACAAATCGCCTCATGCATTAATATAGAGATAAACCATATTTAAATTGTTAATAAATTGTTTCATTTTCTTTTCTTTATCATTATTTTTGAAATTAATATTGAAATAATACAGCAATTATCATTTATACATTACATTATTAATTATGTAATAAAGAGATAAACTATATTTAAATTGTTAATAAATTGTTTCAATTTCTTTCCTTTACCATTATTTTTGAAATTATTATTAAAATAATACAGTAATTATCATTTATATATTATATTATTAAATACACACCTCTTAATCTTCTATTATCAACTATAATATAATAATTTTCATTGAAATTACATTTTTTATTATTTAAATGAATCATAATTGAATTTTTGTAAATTTACAACATTTTAATTTTCATGCTCTCGTACATCTATCTTCCTTTAATGCATCAGTATAAGATTTTTGAAATAAAAGAAAGGTAAAAAGAAAAAGTTACATAACTTTGAAACAGTAAAAATAAATTTAGGTCATTTAAAATATTTAGTATTGCACAAATAATTACAATGTATTATAATTTTATGATTTATTCTTATCTTAATAAAAACCAATTTATATTCCTGTTCCTTTAATTTAATACATTATATGTAATTAAAAATAATAATGATAAAATAATTAAGATGAAAATAAGAAATTGAAGAGAATAAAAAAAATTCAACTAAATTATTAATTGCATTTATTATATTTTTTTATAAAAATAATATATATTCTTTTTTTCTCTTTTAACAAATTCATTTTTTTATAATTAAAATAAAATAACAAAATTAGTGTTTAATTAATGCTTGAGGTAGCATTTTATATTGTATATTGATTGATTGATTAATTAACTGATTAATTGATTGATTTGTAGATAGGTAGATAAATATAGATATAAACAAATATATAGATATAGATTTATCCTCTTAATATTTTAAAAAATCTATGTTAGTTACCACTGTTTTTATAGAAAATTTTTTAAAAAAAAACTATAAATTGAAAATTTTAAAACACATATAATATCTATGTACACTTAAAAATAAAATATGGATTGTTTTTAAAAATAAAATAAAAACTTTTTATGTACTTGCTATTTGCTTTTGAGCTGTTCATTGACTGTTGTATTTTGTTGCCTTTCTAGGTCCAAAGTTTTGCTCCATATCTTGGCCCTAAGTTTTTACAATAGCATAGCATAGCATAATATTTGTATTTCATTAATTCTGGTGCCTCTCCCTCCTTTAGAATTTTTAAGGTTAGAGAATATGATAAAAAATAACCTCAAATTTGTGATAAGAAAACAAATATTAGCTAGACATCTCAAGTATATATCAAAACCAAATAAAGTTATACTTAGAAGTGATATAGAGATACTTAAATCAAATATTAGCTTATTGACTTGATTTAAATGGGGTAGCATAAGTGAGAGCTTCCATTAGTTAGAAAACATCATCAACGTCCAAGACACTTACTTTTGGGACTTGGAGATTTTAGTTTTGTAGTCTTTTATAAGCCTAGATAAAGAAACTTAAGAGTTCTAACGGTTACAAATACTTCATTTGAATTTAATACTAAAATTTGAATATAATAAATATAAATAATATCTTAATAAATATTTGTTGAATATGAAAAATTTTATATATACATCAAAACTTAATTGAGTTCTCACATGTAGAAGAAAACAAAAAAGCACATCTCTTTCTTTTTTTTATTTATTTAATATGCATATAATAGAAAATAATAATAATAACGCATATTACTCATTTTTAATGCATTTCTTTCTTTCTTTTTTAAGTAATTGTTAAATATAATATTATATATTATATTATATATATAAATTCATACTTTATTTAATGAATAAATTAGCATTTTATATATATAAATAGGTATAGATTTTATTAATAAATTATTATGTCTTTCTTTTTTTGAAAAAAAGTATTAAATTCTATTAAAATTGAATGGAGAAAGTAATAATTAGGTGAAATATCTAATTTGATCCCTCAATTTTATTTTTAAATCAATTATTTTAAAAAAAAATAATCAAATATATTCTTAAACTTTAAAAAAATACTAAAAATATCTTCGAACTTCAATCTCCTTTTTGTTGAAATTCAATTTTTCTGTCAATTAAATGATGATGTGATAGATTCTCGTGAAATAATTCAATTTTTCTATTTTTAAGAGTGAAGGGGAAATTTAGAAAACTGATGTGTCCAATTTTTGTGGGGGCTTATGATAAATATTAATTAATTAATTTAAAATGAACTTAAATGACATGTTTATTTTTAAATTTAATTAGTTAAAAACTCAAAATATTTGAAATTACAAATGTGTTCATCCCTTCATCTTCTTCCTGAATTTCTCATTTCTTCTCAGGTTCACCTCCCTCTTGCTTTCTTCCCCTTCTCCCTCCGTTCTCCATTGCCAGCAATATCTTATTCCCTTCTTCTTCTCCAGCATCAACGTCCCTCTTCATTCTATCTCTCTTGTTCTCTTTTTTGGATTTCTTTCTTTTCAATTCCTTTTCCCTCAGTCAAACATCAAAATCCTTCTTTTTTCTAGCCCAGATAAAGTTGACGAACTATAGCACCCGACCACTTCTGCTGTCACAGTCACGCTCCTCTCTGTAGATTTCTCCCACCCGATGGGCCATGCCTTGGGAGGCTCTAACTCCAAATTTGTTCCTAGATCCATAGCGCTTTACATCCGAAGGTAATCTCACTCTTTATGCTTCTATAGCTTCAAATTCGAACCATGTCACTATTGAATTTCCTTTAAAAAAAAAATTTACTAAGTTTTTACTAGAATCATTTGAAATTTTAGGGAACAAAAAACGCTATATGAATTGTTGGTGCCCAATACATCAGCATTTTGATTCAGTTTGATTTTACTAATTCATAGGACCTGGCTTTAACTCAGTGACAAATTCATCCTTTAGGTTATTGTTTCAATTTTTATGGGTTGTTGCTTGCTTAGAAACTGCAGGAAAATGAAGAGAAAATTTTTTGTTTAAATTTACATTTTTTTAGTTCTTGTAATCTGTTTGTTTTTGTGGCGGATTTCTATAGATTTCTATTTTTATTTGATTTATTACTTCATTGGTTTATTAGAGGAGAGAATTGTAACTGGAGAAGAAGAGCAATACTTGTTAGAGAAAGAGATGAAGGGAAGATATGTCGGGGAAGAAGATGGAGGAGAGGGAAAGATAAAGGTATTTTTGGATTAAAATTATTTATTAAATGGAATATGATGTGGAGGTGCCAGATGTATTTTATTTTACATGTCATTAAAATTAAAAAAAATGATTTTGTGACAACTTCACCTGCCACATCATCATCATTATTTAACTAGGGATTAAATTAGTACTAGAAATTAAAATTTGAGAAGATTTTAAATATTTTTTAAGTTTAAAAATATATTTGGTTAAAAAATAAAAATTAAGAGAACAAATTGGGTATTTAACCTAATAATTAAGAGAGACAATACCAAAAATAGCCATTAATAACACTAAAATTAAACATAGGGTTAAAGCCAACTGTAGTCTCTCTACTCTTAATTTTTATTCATGTCCATCCTCTACTAAGGATTTCTTCATTGTCATCCCTCTACTTTTCCAAAGGCATTAAATATCATCCCTGTAATCCCTTTATTTTGTTTATTGTCATCCTTTTATTGACGGTGTTATTTTAGCCGTCTATTTAGACCGTTTAATCGACAAACGATCAATTGTTGAAGCATTTCTTGTAATTTTAATTCCAAGTGTGTTACCAGCTAGGAGGAGAGAAGGATTGGGTACCCGGTATTGGACATGCATGTTGCTATTTTCAAACGAGATTTTGCTTAATCCAAGATAAAAAATATTCTAAGTGTTGTGTCTTGTGTTTGAATTGTAATAAATAAGTCATAAACATAAAAATATTTTATATAAAGAGAGAAAATGGATAATAAATGCACTGGTAGAATATAGATAAATATTTTTATATTAAATCTATGATGTTAGGTGGTTATGGAAATATTTTTTTTAACTTTGCCTTAAAATATAATTAATACATCTTTTATTCACTTAAAATGAAGAATGAAAAGCTAAAATTAATTTTAATGCTAATGTTATATGTATTAATTTAATTGATTATTTGTTAAATTTAAAATTAATAATATTTAATTTTCTATGTAATTTAATAGTTAAAAATTGTATTCATTACACTCTTAATTGTTTCCTTAAGGCATATATTAAAAGGTTTTTCTAACTAAACTTTTCATCATAAATGTATATAGAAAAATCTAAAAATTTATATTAATTTTAATATTAGTTTCAAATGGATAAATTAGATAATTGATAAATTAAAAGTCAATTTTTATTTTTTCAAAACAAATATATAATAAAAATGTATATTTAATACATCATGTTACAAAGACTGTCTATTAAAAAACAATTGTTTTAATGTGTGCATTTTTTCATTATTAATTTGTATAAAAAATAAAAATTAACTACAATTTTATTAATTATCTAATTAAAATGTTTCATGTGGGATTGATGTTAAAAATAAAATTTACTTTTGTAATTTTTTTATATAAATTGTGAAAAGATACAATAAATATGCTCTTAACATATGTCTAAAACCCTATAAAAAAACTCATTAAAATAATTTTAGCAACTTTTTAAGCTAAGTTTAACATTAAGTTTTTAGTAATAATGAATCTTTACATTTACCTTTCTACTCAATATAAAATTTAAAGCATCACAATTTATTAACTCAATATGTATACTTACTAATACATACATTATATAATATAATTCACCTCTTTAACTAAAAATTGCTAGTTCATAATAGTTGGGCTAAATGTGAATTACTGTAAAAACAAATAAATATAAGAGATAAGATTAGAAATAAACAACATAAATGATTGAATTTGAAAGAAGTGAAGCAGGACATCAACTAAAGGTGCTTCTATCCTCCTAGTTGGCAGCATATATGAAAAAAGAAATCTAAGAAATGCTTCAACAATTGACCGTTTATGGATTAAACGGTTCAAATAGACGACTAAGGCAACTCCGTTAAAAAAAGGATGACAACGAACAAAATAATTGGAGAATAGGGACGGCATTTAATGCTTTTGGTGAAGTAGGGATGACAATAAACAAATCCTTAGTAGAGGGATGGACATGAATAAAAGTTAAAAGTAGAGGGATGACAGTTGGCTTTAACCCTTAAACATACAAATGACAACTGTCCTGCAGGAACTTTTCGCGCGTTGCATTGCCTCCATTGCCTCCATTACCTACCGGAACAGATACCCACAGGGGTTCCATGTCCTGCAATACAAAAGATAGAAGACATAAAAAGCTTGGTAATTTAAAGAAAAATTAATGGAGTATTTTGATTTCTCAACTTTTGTTTAATATTGTTGTATGCAGAGAATTGTAGATGCAATTGGTGTGAGCAAGGCAGTTCCAGGAACCTTTCTTAAGGATAATAGTTTCCAACTCTTTATAGGAAACGTTATCTCCAGGATACAATGCCCA